TTCAGTCTTAGCCTCGTAAGGGTACCTTAAAAAAAAAGTCAAATCAAAATAGTGACTTCCAGGGTTATTTGATGGGCCAGTTAAGTTCAAGGCAGAGAAGTGAGCTGAGAAGATTATGGTGACTTTTGAGAGGGATTCTCGAAGAACTAAACTTTATAGGTTTTCTTGAAGGGCACTTAGTAGATTCTTATTAATTAGGAAGTGATTAAAAAAACTGAAAACTGCATTGGTGAGTAAACAAAACAAATAAAATGGCAGGGGCTAGACAAGTTGTACTGAGGCATTTTTTCTTTTCTTTTAAAAAAAATCATTTTATTAGGGTCTCATACAACTTCTATCACAGTCCATACATACATCAATTGTGTAAAGCATATTTGTACATTCATTGCCCTCATCTTTCTCAAAACATTTGCTCTCCACTTAAGCCCCTGACATCAGCTCCTCATTTTCCCCCTCCCTCCCCGCCCCCCCTTCGCTGAGGCGTTTTTTCATCATGACAATTCACCTGTTCATCCTGTGAGGGGATCAAGCTCTGTCCTATTAAAATTCTATTGAGAAACCTTACCTCAATCCACCCTACAGCACAGATCTTGCTGCTTCACATTCTTTCTTGCTCCTCAAACTCAAAGACTATCGAAAAGAAACATGGATGAAGGGGAGGGCAGTGTTCTAGAAGGAGAGGAGAAAAGGGGGAAGGAGTCCAGAGCACATTATTGAGAACTTTGATAAGTAGTTTAAGTTGTCAGATTAAAAATTTATGATCTAAATGTAAATCCCCACCTAATTTTCAAGAAAATTGTTTTAATCCGATTGATAAGTACACACATATATATTTAAATTGATGATGTTGAAGAAAGAAGTTCAAGCTGCACTGAAAGCATTGGTGAAAAACAAGGTCCCAGAAATTGATAGAATAGCAATCGAAATATTTCAACCCACTGATGGCTCACTAGGGGTGTTCACTTATCTAACCCAAATGTGAGAGACGTTTACTAGAAGAGATATATATTTGTGCCTATTCCAAAGAAAGGGGATCTTACAGAATGTGAAAAGTATTAAATAATATCACTAATATTACATGCAAGTAGAATTTTGCTGAAGGCCATTTAAATTAATTAGAACAGTAAATGGAAGGAAACTGCTACAAGTTCAAGCAGCACTCTGAAGCGGCCATAGAATAAGGAATATCATTGCTGTGCAGATGGATCTTGGCTGAAAGCAGAAGACCAGGAAGATGTTTACCTTTGTTTTATTAACTATACAAAAACATTCAACTGTATACCTACTGTTAGTGTACCTACTCTTTGTTAGTGTGCCTACTGTTAGTGTACCTACTCTTTGTTAGTATACCTACTGTTAGTAGACCCTGGCTCCGGAAGGATAACTTTTGCCGGTGCCCCATGTTCCCTCCCTTCTCCATCCCCTCCCACGGCTTCTTTTGCTTGGACCCCAGAAGACCCCCAGGATCTCTTTGCCCCTCTTCGCTCTCTGGGCAGCCTGTGGAGAGAGCAGATGTCGCTGTCTGCCCGTGTTTAAAGAGCCCTCGCCTTTAGAGGATGACTTCAGCCTGAGAGAGTGGAGAGTGTCCTCATTAGCCTTTCAATTCCCAAGGACTTTTTTTTTTT